GGAAAATCAGCTCACTGCAAACCCAAAAGCTGCTCGCCAAGCTAATCGTTTCGTCCATGCAGAAAGCCTTGCGTGTTAGGGTGACAGTTTCCAAGGTAAGGCAGCATAGAATGGCATAGAAGCAGAGTCACAATCGCCAGCTGTATGGTTGAACTGGGCTTCGATGGTGACATCACAACGTCCGCGGTTAAAGTGCTCACACAAAGCCGGCACGAAGGCTTGGCACATGTTTGCCTCCACCTCACCTGTCCTGGTACAAACAGAAAGTCTGGCGCTGCTTCCCGCGAGTGATGTAAGAGCCTAGCGCAGGAGCAATCTTACAAACAACTTGAAACTCCTGTCATGAAGACCTAGAAGCACTCTTACACTTACACCCTTCTCAAAATCCAGAGTCAAGCCGACATATATATATATATATATATCTACCTATTTATATATAAGTTCAATCATAAGCCCCGGGATCAGGCACCATGTCAAGGATCTTGTCCGCGCGCTCCACGTTTGTGAGGTTGAAGTCGTTCTGCACCAGGCTAAGCTCCTCCAGACGATCTCATGCTACCACTATGGGCTATTAGGCCTTAATGGTACCTTCATCTACCCTTAATAGGGTCCTAATAGGGATCTTCAGGGTCTAATAGCCCATAGTGGTATGTCCATGCAATCTCTAAGATAAGGACACGAGGACAGATAGGGAGAACGTCAGGTGCGGACATAGGGATGCGGAGAGAGACAGCTCAATCGATAAGTAGACCCGTCGAACGATCGCTTCCAGGCATCCCCAGGCCTCAAAGACAGCCTCATTTTCGTAGAATGCCTTGATCTTGAGAATATCCTCCATCACCGCCTGGGAGGTTCTGTGCGCTGAGGTTATTTAAAATGTCAAAGCGTTTCGGGGCCTTGGGAAGCCGGGGCCCTGTCCCAGGATTGTCAAAGGTATGGGTCTTGCGGTTCAGGGGTTTACGCTCTCGCAACTCGGACTTGCCAGACGAGGTCTCTCGGTGCGTGTCGGTACTACAACTGACAACCCAAGGTCTCGTAGAAAACAGCAAACAACACCAAAGTTAAGGCCACGCAGGACCTAGTGCGCTGCGGTTCAGGGGTTTTAGGGTTCAGGGTCTTGTCTAGTGTGAGTGCTACGACTGCAGGGCTTCACGTTTTTGATGTGCATTTTCCGACCTGGACGGGGCCTGGCAAGTTCTAGTGTATTCTGCATGGTACAGCATCCTAAACCTCAATGCATTGCACATTGTCGTCCACTTTCGTTCTCTTGTCTCCGCCTCTCCATCTCCATCTCTCTCTCTCTCTCTCTCTCTCTCTCTCTCTCTCTCTCTCTCTCGCTGGGTCTCGAATCAACACGCCAACCCTGGCTTCGGAGTCGAGCGTCTAAAACAGGAGCCCTTTAAAGTATCCTATAGGTCAGTTGGCGTCCTCTAATTCAAGGGGCGACTTTCAGAATGTGTGCTCAATTCGGGCTTCTTGGCACCGGCCCAAACAGTTCCATCAGGAGGCAGCATAAGTGATGGCTCCACAAATTGAAGCACCCCTTGCTTCCCATCCACAAAGCCTATAAATCCAAAGGCTCTGAAGCTCTGAAACATCAAAGCCTAAAGCTTCAAAGTCCAAACTCAAACTTCAAATTCAGCAAGTCAGCAAGATTCCCAATCTTATAGACAAAAGCACCCTCATACCCAGGAAGATCCGAAAAAAGCCCTGCAATCCCAGAAGGCCTATCAAAACCCAAAAGTCCGAAGACTTCGAGTCCTAGACGACATTCCGAAGTCCCGTATCCGATATTTCCAGCCCTCCTACAGCGTGCATCGAAGTGGCGGCGTCCTCACCTGGGGAATTTCAGAGGCTGAGGGACCCCAATGCCAAACCGTGAATAGTGGGATGGGATGCTCAGGATCAGGATCCCTCAAGAGGTACTGGTGCGGCTGCGAAATACTTTTTTTTGCTTCGGGCCCTGAATAATTAGAATAGGGGTCCGAGGCCCATTATACTATAATCGTAAAAAGGAACCCCCGCATTCAGGTATTGGTGATGTTTCAGGCCCGTTTATTACAGGAGAGACACAAAGAACCACAACAAAAACCCACAGAAGCACTTACACAGCCTAGTGATTAGCGCGCTTTAGGAACCCTTCGTAGATCCTTACGACTTCAGTAGCATAACATATTCCAGAACCTCTGCGACCTCCAAAGGAAAGCCACTACACTGCGAAAAAAGCCCTGAACCCGGATTCTTGAGGCCACGAGATGCAAACCCTTAATCCTTTTTGAACGAGGTCTCTTTAAAGTGCCTCCATAAGGATTATAGGTCTGGACTTGGATGTACTTTCACCGATATCTGAATCTACATCTATATACCTATATCTATAGCCAATGTATGTGTGAATGAAACGACCTCCTAAACCCTGAACCCACCTTTGGCCATGCCAGCGTCCCGCAGCGCTTTCGCATAGGATACAGCAGGGCCGAAGGGCTTCCTCAGCTCAAACTCCCAAAAAAGGCCTCAAACGAATATAGTGACTATACTGAAAATAGACCCCTAGCAAAACATATATGATTTAAGCTGTTTCTTATAAGGATGAAAGGAACCAAAGGCTACAAATGTTTTCTAAACACGCCTAAGGGGAAAGGGCGGAGGGCTTGGGGCTGCTCGGGGTGTTTGGGCACACTTCTGGAATTGCCCATGTCATCCTCGAGCGGAGACAAGCTAATGTCTGGCGAACCAAAAATCGGACAAGGTCGTGCATTCAGTGTACTGCTGATAGTCTCCATGCCCTTGAATGAGCTTTCCACAACCCCTCTGTTGTTATCTACTTTGGGGCTTATTCGGCTTACCTTCTGGCTCCGGCACCGCTGTGTTCTATCGGCACGATCTGACATTTGACGTCCAGCTCGCTTCTCGAGCCCTAATGGATGTTTTTTTGCGCAGAGCGGACACTTCAGGAATCAGGCTTTACGGAGCAGGTCACAAACTATGTCGGGGTCGCTTGTGCACACGAGCACATCGGCAAAATACAATTTGTCATGAGTAAGCACAACTGTAAAACCGTATCGCAATCTACGGTTACAGTGCGGTTACAGATGTCTCACCGGGGCTGATACGTGTCTCGACAATGATATCATGAATCGTTTGCGGTTCTCAGAGCTCAGACCACCATGTGCGTTGTAGATGGTTTGATCAAAAAACGGCTTGCTAGCACTGTGGTGTTCAGCCACTTTCAGCCGGTGTCGCAAGCATGCGTGATGATCGCAAACATGCTGCAGGCTCCAGACGAAACGCTGAAACGCGACACGGCAGCCCGCTTGACCTTAACCTCTATCCCCAAACCCCCACTTGGCAACACACCCTCATATATACACTTGCACACCTCGGACTCACTAAACCTAAACCCTTGAACCTCCACATACACGCGGGGAGAGACCCATGAAGCCACTCTGCTGGCCCACAAAGACCCGAAGCTTCAACCCGATGGAAATCGAGCTTCAAGTAGGATCCGTCCGCCTGACGCTGCGTGAGGCTGCGCTGCTGGGCCGCCAAGCCCTGCTGCCTTTGCTAATTCTGAAGCTCCCTTTGCACTTTTGCTGCGGATTCGGACATCGTGTCCGGACTTTTGGTGGAGGACTTAACATGTCGAACTCAAGGACTATGCAGCAGGGATAGGGACGTCCAAGGGCAAGAAAGCTGCGCGGAGCGTCCGAAGCCTGTGGACAGCGACGGAGTGAAAGCCAACTTCCCAACGAAGCACATCACCTGGAGTCAAAGGACCGGCGATCATGGTAATAATAAGAAAGGACGTATTTACGGCATATGCGAAACTTTCCAAACAAGCCAATAGATTGGTTAAGGCCAAAAGCGCTAATCAAGGCGAGTCTCTCTCCGTCTCTGTCTCTGTCTCTGTCTCTGTCTCTGTCTGTGTCTCTCTCTCTCTCTCTCTCTCTCTCTCTCTCTCTGTGTCTCTCTCTATACATGCATGTGCACAGGAATATATGCACACCGATGACAACATAACAACTGACAGAAACTATATGCTGGGGCCAACTATGATACTGATAGTGGAAAGGATGCTGGACTTTGTCACATCAAAAAACAAACTAAAAGCCTGGACAATTATATCTGCGAGTACCACTAACGAACTGTATAGATAGCTGTAGATGCATACATGCACAACATATATGTATGTATGCATGCATGTATGCAGCACGTAATCATGTATGTATGTACGTATGTATGTACTTTTATGGATCTATGTATGCATGTACGTAAATGTATATATCTATGTTTATGCCTGGGCCTATGTATATGTATGCGAGTATAGAAATAGCAGCATATATACGTATGAGTACAAGTATGTGTTTACGTGTATGCATACGCGCCTCTGTATCTACACATGAGCTCTACTGTGACACCAAGGGATGGCCAATGTCTAAAGCAACCAGGTCACTGCCGCGGACAGAACTGCCACGCCCATCGATCGCGCCATGCCGACTGCTCGAAGGAACAAAACCGGTACTACTTGTTAATGCGGGGAGGTGAGACTCCTCGAGCAAACGCGGCCTGTCCGTGGTCGCAAGAGGCGCAAGTGATCATGAGGCGGGAAGCTATTTAGCTGTTCCAACTCCAGACTTCGTGACAACGGAAAGCTAAACAAAATCCGAAGCAACCAAGAACTGTACGGCGTCCGGATGTCTTTGCCAACGAAGCTAGGCATATTGCCTTTTAATTTAAACAAGGATGTGGGCGTCAGGCTTCATTGACCATATCTCATAGCATAGTACTAGTACCCCACCCCCCTGCACCCTACCCCACTAAAGTCCGTATGAATGTCTTGATAAAGGGCCACTTCTGCACCTCCCAGAGAAGTGCCAGGACCCGGGGCTCAGCGCCCGGAGCAAGGCGTGAAGACCTGGGACCCGAACACTACCCCCTTTTCGGAGCTCCTCAAATTACATTTATATAGGTTTTTCCCCTCCCAAGATTTAAGTTAGGGTTAAGGGTCTATGAAGGTTTAGTGCTTAGGGCCTCTATAGGGGCTCATTATAAGAACTTCATAGAACTTCATAACCTTAAGGCGCATTGTTGGGTATCCTCTTTCAAGTGGGTGTTAAGGCCAAAGGTTTCCGAGTTGTGGGGATCTAAGGCGTCTGGGTTTAGGACCCAAGATGTAGAGCTCAGGATTCAGGCGGTTTAATTAGGGCTTACGCTCTCGCAACTCGGACATGCCTGACGAGGTCTCTGGTGCGATGTGCTTTGACGGGTCGGTACTACCAGCTGACCATCAGCTAGGCACCACAGGGAGCAATTAACGCTGCTAAACACAATATTGTTCAGTTACACAATGACTGATGGTCAGTTCTCTGTATGTGAGCTTCTGGGAGCCAAGCAAACTCGAGCAATCACCGTGACTAACTTCAGCAATCGGTATAGGGTTTAGGGTTCACGGTTTCGACTTCAGAATTAAAACTCGAGAGTCTCCGACAAAGCTTCTTCAGAGGCTTCTGCCTGCCCCGTAGCATGTCGCCTCTCTGATGCATCCCACAGGGTGTGTCTGCGTGGCTGTACGTATCAGTCAGTGCGTGTGTGTGTGTGTGTGCGCGGGTGTGAGTGTGTGTGTGTGTGCATTTTACAAGACTAGACATGAAATATGTATATGTATATATATATATATCAAGTACACATACACGTATGCAAATATATAGACACATGCTTCTTTGTCTGCATGAGCCTGCGACATGTAGTTTGGCAGAGTTGTACAGAGCAGCCTGCTAGAACCTCCCACCCTCGAGAATCTCGGGGTCGACGATTGCAACAAACGCAGTTTATGAACAAAACAGAAGAGAAAACATACCACCAACAATACAATTGGGGCTACGAGCAGGTCATGACGTGGCTTACACCCCAAACCCTAAACCAAGTGAGGGTTGTGTCGTCAGGGGCTCTTGTCTGGCAAAAGTGACCCTGCAGTCTCTGAGCGATGCCTATTCGGACCACAAGGTCTTGGTGCAATAAAGGTTTGTTCAAACAATACTCAGGCCCAGGAGTATAAGCTGGACAAACGAGCCTGTCGGGACACACCTGAGCACCTTGCACGTCGCTGAGACCCCCGCACGTCGAGCTGGTTAGCCCCTCCGCCACTGCCATCCGGTCAATCAGCTGTGGGCCGAAATCCCACCGATACGTCTACGTCATTGTCGTGACCACCGTCAGCAGAAAAGCCATCAGCATCATCATCATCACTGCCGGCAATAGCAGTGCGATATCAACAGTGTACTCCTAATCTTTCCTCACCATGACCATCACATCATCATCTTCATCACGACCACCATCATCATCCTCGTACGCGGCAACACTCATACCAGTAGAGCTTGCATGATCGTCATGATCATCATCAGCCGAAGAGGCCAAATGACAAGCTCTGGAAAACACAATCAAAACACGCACCACCACGTCTCGTAAACTCGTGCTGCAACCGACAGTTGCAGCAAGAGTAGCAGTAGTAGTAGCAGTTGTCGTAGTAGTAGTAGTAGTAGTAGTAGCAGCAGACGCAGTAGTAGCAGCGGTAGTAGCAAAGGTAGTAGTAGTAGTAGTAGTAGTAGTAGTAGTAGTAGTAGTAGTAGTAGTAGTAGTAGTAGTAGTAGTAGTAGTAGTAGTAGTAGTAGTAGTAGTAGTAGTAGTAGTAGTAGTAGTAGTAGTAGTAGTAGTAGTAGTAGTAGTAGTAGTACAGTAGTAGTACAGTAGTAGTAGTAGTAGTAGTAGCAGCAGCAGTAGTAGTAGTAGTAGTAGTAGTAGTAGTAGTAGTAGTAGTAGTAGTAGTAGTAGTAGTAGTAGTAGTAGTAGTAGTAGTAGTAGTAGTAGTAGTAGTAGTAGTAGTAGTAGTAGTAGTAGTAGTAGTAGTAGTAGTAGTAGTAGTAGTAGTAGTAGTAGTAGTAGTAGTAGTAGTAGTAGTAGTAGTAGTAGTAGTAGTAGTATAGTAGTAGTAGTAGTAGTAGTAGTAGTAGTAGTAGTAGTAGTAGTAGTAGTAGTAACAGTAGTAGTAGTAGTAGTAGTAGTAGTAGTAGTAGTAGTAGTAGTAGTAGTAGTAGTAGTAGTAGTAGTGATAGTTGTAGCAGCAGCATCAGCAGTAGTAGGAGCAGGAGCAAAAGTGGTAGTGAATGTAGGCGTAGGAGTCGGAGTAGTAGAGGTGGTAGCAGTAGTAGTAGAAGAAGAAGTAGCAGCAGCAGCAGTAGTAATAGTAGTAGTAGTAGTAGTCGTCGTCGTCGTCGTCGTAATCGTTGTGGTGGTGGTGGTGGTGGTGGTGGTGGTGGTGGTGGTAGTAGTGGTAGTGGTAGTAGTGGTTGTACGGTAGAAGTAGAAGAAGTAGCGGTAGCAGTATCACTGCTACTACTACTACCAGCAGCAGGCAGAGATTGTAGCAGTGCCCTGAACAGCACTATGCAATAGGACTGCCAACACTTGTCCCAACAGGTACTTGCACTATTGCCAACAGTGAGTGATGTGTGGTTGGCTAAACTTGGCCGAGATATTGCAATCACCTTCTTGGCCAAACGCAAACCGCGAAAGAGAGCTGTTTCCGTTTTCTCTGCCTGCGCACTCCGAACTGCGGTGGACCTGCAGTCTTGTCCCGGGCCTATCCCATGGTCGTCGAGCCGCTTCTCCCTGGGAGCGGGAGGAGATATTGGGCGGTTCTGCGTCCGATAAACTTGGAGTTTTCTCAGCCTCTGGGCACTCCATCAGTGAATCAGAGCAAGCAGGAAGCTGTATCAAGGCTGTGGCATGGCAGAGTGCAAACGACTATGGGAACTTCCTGTGAAGACCAACCATCCAAACACACACCAATTTTCTGTGGTAAAAAGTTCGTCTCGATGAAGCTATTGCCGATGCGGGCTACGATTGGTTTTGGCTCATGCTCATGCACAATAAACCTTGTTTAGACTAGCCGCTGCAGAACAAATAGTGATCTTCATGCAAGCAAGCGTAACCATGTCAGCAGCGCGTGGCTTGGGTCTTGATTTGTGCTGTTAACGGAAGAGCTCTGTCACCCGAAGCCTCCTCAACCCTCGTCCTTCGCATTCTCAAACGAGGCAGCCCATACGACGCCCAGCCCAACATTCCTGAGGATGCCACATGAGCTCTGCGAAGTCTGCCCAGTCCTGGTAAGGTACGCTCCGAGAGCACCTCATCGCTTGGATGCCTCAGAGCCCAGATTCAATGGCCAGGGATCTCAATGTGAGGAATCCGAATTGTGTATTGAGGCGTTCATGGGAGGTTATGGCTTCATCTGCAGTTCTGCCGGGTAGTTGAGGCAGGGATAGCAGGGAACGACTCGCAAAGACCAGTCACTCATGCGCTTTCGTGCAGAGCACGAGCCTGAACGAGGCTTCGTTTGTAGATGGTGGAATAATGGCCGAGGCACTGTTGATGCGTGCCGAACTCGACTTAAGCTTTCCTATGTCCAACAAGCATCGTTTTGGATGGGTGGGTGACCCTTCAGGGTCGTTTGGGCGTGTGCACTCTCGAGGCGGTCCGGGAAGCGCATGTCATCCGCCATCCGATCTAACTCCAGTAGCTCTGGTGGGACAGGGGGAACCGGTTGTCCTGGCAAGTAGGGCTAAAGCTTCTTTGGGTTTGATTCTGGGAATCATGGGGCCGTTTCGGGCTGGGTGAAACTCCTACAAAATCCGGCTACCAAGACTGCATGTGGTCGTAGGGCCAATAAACTGTACCATCTCGGAGGCTCCATGAAGACAAAGCCCTAACCCCTCACTAAACTCCGCCAGCCCTTGACAGTATGCACTACGACAATCCTGGGCCATCTGGACGGAATGTGCTCACAGACATCCAGTCTTTCGCAGGCATTGCGAACCTGAGCAATGGCAGAGGCCAGGCATCCTCGGTCCTCACTAGTCACTAGCAGCAGAATACCTAGCATGAGTCCTCTTGCAGCCACCTCGGCCTATTTGGGGCTCTCAGTTCCGCCTTGAGGAGCTCAACAGTATCATGCCCTGCTCCGCCGACTCCGCCAACTCAGGGCACAACTCGGTCACCGGATGGATCTCCGTCTGGAACTGCGCATCCCTGCAAGAGGCACTTCGCAGTTTTCAGGGCTTTGATGGGCTTTGGAAGAGTACACACCGGCCTCAGGGGTTAAGGCGCGTTTCTCGGCTTTGAGTTCGATGTGCCCGATCTCCAACATTCAGAGCCATGCGACTGTCGGCCACAGGACTGGAAAGCTTCGCGGAGCGTACATCGAATTCAGTGCTTACAGGCGGGTGGTCCCTCAGCATTCAGTTACCAATATCCAGCGTTCCTTGCTTGCTACGACAAAGACCTGAAGGGACCTCTCTGTCAACCCCTGCTGAGGCCGAAGCTTGACACGGTGGGGCCTCTTAAAGCAGAATGCTAAGGAACCCCTATGGTGTACTATAGACTGTAGATCCCTGTTATGGTTACTTACACTAAATTCCTTAATAACAACCCAGCCAGTCCTGGAAATGCTCCACACAACCTGAGCTCCGATCCTCCATGACTTCAGGCTCTGGGGGTCTGAAGTCAAGGTCCGCAGCAGGGGGCGGGGTTTCGGGTCAAGGTCTGTTGGGCCAAAAGCTCCGATCCCTAAGCCGAGGTTGAAACTTCAATCACGACTTTCGCATGTCTTGGTTCAATATCCGTCTCAACCGAAACGAATGAACGACCCATCAAGGCCCCTGTGAACCAGTGGGAAGGAAACAGCCTCAATGGAACCATTCGGCCCGTAATATCCTGACACCTCACACGCCCTATCCTCAGAACCTGATGTTACCGTTTTGGTTCTGACTCGAAACCCAACCAACAACTTACGCGCCTCACCCCTCAGCGCCAAAGCCCGTTGAACTCCCGGAGGCATAAGCCGTGGAAAAAAGATTTCACGCCCTTCCCTCAGAGCCTGGTCACACGCCAAAGGAATATGGGAGCTCCTGGCTTCAGCACGTTGTCTGCGACGATGACTGCCGGGGACCTTGGGACACAACAGTTGAGCTCTGCTTCAAGCTTTGATGAACTGTTAGGGTTTAGGCTGTTAGGGTATGTTAGGGTATCAGCAGCAGTGGAGGTGGCGACGGCAGCAAGGCCAGTAGTGCCACAGTTGTCGGCGGTGGTGGCGGACCATCACCACCAGCACGAGTACGACTCTACTAGAGTAGGACTCCGACTACGACCTCGACTACAGCTACGACTACGACTACGACTGCTACTGCTACTGCTGCTGCTACCGCTACCGCTACCGCTACCGCTACCGCTACCGCTACCGCTGCCGCTGCCGCTGCCGCTGCCGCTGCCCCTACCCCTACCCCTACCCCTACCCCTACCCCTACCCCTACCCCTACCCCTACCTGCTACCACTACCACTACCGCTGCTGCTGCTCCTGCTGCTCCTACTGATGCTGCTGCGACCGCTGCTGCGACCGCTTCTACTACTGCTACTACTACTGCTACTGCTACTGCTAATGCTACTGCTACTGCTGCTCCTACTACTACTACTACTACTACTACTACTACTACTACTACTACTACTACTACTACTACCAAGACTACTACTACGACTACTACTACTGCTGATGCTGCTGCTGCTAATACTAATACTACAACAACTACTACTACTACTACTACTACTACTACTACTACTACTACTACCAAGACTACTACTACGACTACTACTACTGCTACTGCTGCTGCTGCTGCTGCTGCTACTAATACTACTGCTAGTACTACTACTACTACTACTACTACTACTACTACTACTACTACTACTACTACTACTACTACTACTACTACTACTACCAAGACTACTACTACTACTACTACTACTACTACTACCACTACACTACTACACTACTACTACTACTACTACTACTACTACTACTACTACTACTACTACTACTACTACTACTGCTACTGCACTGCTACTGCTACTGCTACTGCTACTGCTACTGCTACTGCTACTGCTACTGCTACTGCTACTGCTACTGCTACTGCTACTGCTACTGCTACTGCTACTGCTACTGCTACTGCTACTGCTGCTGCTACTGCTGCTACTGCTACTACTTCTGCGAACGCGACTAGGCCGACTACGACTACTAACTACTACTTCTTCTTCTGTGACTACTACTGCGACTACGGCTACTATTGCTACGGCTATTGCTACTGCCACTGCTGCTGCGGCTGCTGTCTGTGCGTCTGTCTGTCTCTGTCTGTCGTCTTCATGGGCGTACTCCACCTCTTGGTAGTGCCGGCGACATGTCTTGGGTAGTCCTGACAGAAGCACCAGAAGCAGTGGCAGCAGCAGCTATGTTACTGTGATCTCCAGCATCATCGTCGCCCCCAGCATCATCTTCGTTGTCTCTCGCATGAGAAAAGTCACGACTCTCTGCTGTATGTTCATGCAACATAAGCACACGAGCAGCAGTCTGGCGGAATCTCCCTTTGGCTTTGGCAGCTGAAGTCTGGCGGATGGCGCTTTCAAAGTTGGAAAAGCAGAGGCCCGAGAATGATCTCCGGTCGAGATGGCTATTTGGGAGTTTCCGAAAATGGGGGACCCTAATATTATACCCCAAATAGTAGGATCCTTATTATAAGGACCCCAAAATCAGGTACCCCTAATTTTCGGAAACGCCCATTTGCAAAAGTATCGCTCGTGTATCTCCGCGGAGGACTAGCGACATGTCGCTTCTCGGGACACTGCGCAGTGTCTTAGACACAGAGACATAAACGAATCGCCAGGCAGTGAAGTCCTGCCAAAACCTGAGGCCGTCTGTACATTGCCGCAGATCTGTAGTCCAAAAAAGATTTGATCTGGCTGGGACCAGCACACGATTGACGATGGCTGAAAGGCTATCTAAAAGCAATCGCTTTGGCATCCTTGGGTTTTTTGAACCCCAACTATTTGTCCACCAGCTGAGCAATGGGCTCGCGTGCTCAGCACTGCAACGCCCACTGACCAGGATGAAGCCTAACCCCAATAGAACTTGTCGTCGGCACGTTGCAGCTTGGGCTCTACAGTAGCCCCTGTGCGAATGATGGTCCGCAGCCATAGGAGATGTCCGCCGACACCCCCAAGAAAGCGTTTCGTCCGCCTACTTCTGGATCTCGAATGGCAAGCAGGCTTCCTAGCCTCCGATCTGCCTCTTGGTAGCTGCTAAACATCAAACCCGAATTTCATTGACAATTCGTCAGTCTTGCAGCTTCTACATGCATACATACATATATACATACATACATACATGCATACGTACGGACATACATACATACATGCGCAGAACATGCACCTCTGTTTGTATTTGTATTTGTTTGTTTGTTTGTATGTATGTTCGGTCCTTTGTTTGTACGCATGCTTGTGCATATGTACATGAACACACATACACACACATGTACATATATATGTGTATATATATATATATATAGATATATATATATATATACATATATATATATATATATATCACAGGTTTCTTTCTATGCTTCGACAGATTCACACAGTACAGTACTATCGCACAGACATAGCATAGAAATTACACAGCACAGTTGTAGACAACGGTTATGAAGTATGCAATCCTGCAAACAATGCATGGACACTGTACATAGCACATAGGAGTTTGTGCCGATTCATGTCTTTCTTTGTTTCCATAAAATACATAGCTTATTCAGTGTATACATTGTGCATGTACAGGTATGTAGTATGTATGTGTATATGCGGAGAACACATTATATTAAAAGTACAAAGTATATACACATGTATACATACATACATACATACATACATACATACATACAACACATTCCTAACGTACGTACGTACATACCTACACACACACACACCTATATATATATATATATATGTATGCATACATATATATATGTGTGTGTGTACAGAGAGAGAAGGAGACATAAGACGTAGTAGATGCCACAAATGAACTGTATATGGCATCATAACTAACTTTGCTGATCTGTATATATGCATATGCCTGTATCTATATATATATATATATATATGTATATCTATGTGTGGATGTGTATTCAGCATGTACACGGATATGTACATATAGTCTATACAGAGATGTATATATACATATATATATACACATGTAAACATGTTCTACACATAAACATGTAGAGTCACAGTACGTACAGTGCATGTGAATCTGTGTATATACATGTATACACATACATACATACATACATAGATATGCTCGTGTTCAACTGTGTAGCACCCGATGTGAAGTTCACAAACCACATGTTGCAAATTACACGTTATATACTGCTTGCGATGATATACGGGTATATATATATACAAACATGAATATATTAATATATGTATACATGTGTATATATATGCATGTGTATATATATATATATATATACAACGGCTTCTCCAGCAACACAAGTACTGTGAATTACGTTGATGCTAGCCGCGGTAACATTATTGTATTGTAATCTGTGCACCTATGTGTATATAAGTGTGTAGATATTAATAAATATATACATATTTATTTGTTTGTGCATATACATATTCAGGTATGTGTATGTATGTGTGTATAAACATGTACGCTTGTATGCATGCATTTATGTATGCGTGTATGCATGCATGTATTTATGTATGCATGTACGTATGACGTATGCATGTAAGTATGTATGTATGTGTGCGTGTATGTACCAAGAAGCTCAAACAAAGATATCACCGAAGGCAGAACATAGCCTGAAACACCCGCTGCCAATCTCTCCAGGAACTCGAGACAAAACCCATACCCCGCGCCGGGGCCAACCTCCTCCGGCAAAACAAGGAAAAAGCAGCTGCACAGCAGCTGCTTTGGAAATCGGGCTGGGAACAACGAAAAGTGAACTTGGGCCTCGGGATCAAGAGCAAAATGCTACCCTGGGCACCTCAAGCTGAGCAAACCAAGTCACAGGACTTGTGCAAAAAAGGCCGCACATGCTTGGTGACAGCGGCTGCAGAAGGGGAAGCGATCTTGCAGGCGCATCTTGTGTATCTTCCACTTGAAAGACAGAGGAGATTTTGCCAACTCCTGCAGGCGAGGGAGGTGAAGAGAGAGCGAGGGAGAGGGAGGGAGATAGAGAGAGAGAGAGAGAGAGAGAGAGCGAGCGAGAAAGAGGAGCGGAGGCAGGGGGAGGAGAAGAGAGGAGGGGAGGGAGAAAGACAGAGCGAGAGAGAGAGAGAGAGAGAGTGACAGAAAAAGAGAGGGGCAGAAAGAGGAGCAACCGTACGCGTACGCGAGACAGAGAGAGGAAAGAGGAGCAACCGTACGCGTACGCGAGACAGAGAGAGAAGGCGAGAGAGCTGGAAGCAGACACAGAGATGGAGTGCAAGAGCGGAGAGATTTCACATTCTCCAACGTAATCGGAATCACACCGTACAACGAAAGACCTCGGAACCACTTGCTTGCGAAACACACCGAGGTTCAAAACCCCCAAACACTAAACTATTCACTGAAGCGCAGCATTGAGCAGGAGATGGGTCTAGCAAACTTTATGCAACAGCATGAAAACGAAGTCGGATCTAGCAAACTGTCACTGCCGCATAAGGCAAATGCTGCACAGGAAACTGTTCAACAAAACCAGTGGGGTTTGGATCCGTGGTAGTCTGTTAACGCTCCGTGAACGGCTATGGCATCTAGAAGAAAGTATCGAGCTTGTACATTTTCGCAGCCGCGATTCCTCCATGAACTTGTCCATGTTCTCCACGTGGTGGAAGTGCATGTGGCCGTCGGGTGGCAAGGAGACACCCGATGGTATGCTCTCAACATCCATGCTCTCGAAGGAAGAGATATGATGTCCCCACCGAAGCTCCGATCCTGGCCCAAGTTGGTGTCCAAATCGCCTCTGACGCTACACCCACTCGATCATGAATCTCACCAATCCGGCAAGTTTACGACTCGGCAAAGGTGGGCCATGTCTAGGATTCACTGAGTCCCTGACATGTGCAATGGAAACACTTCATCACACCGC